CATAATGTGCTCTCTTTTCCTGGCCACATTTTTGCTCCAAACTAGTAATTACCCCATAAATTCTTGCCAGTTTTCTAGGTTTGTTAACAGAATTTTAAAAGTAAATAATCTTGTCTGTTTTTGCCTAGTAGAGATTCTAACTCATTCTCTTTACAATTCACAGAAAAAATTAAACTAGGACCACTGTCATCATCTTCATAGTTCTTTCATTTTTGAGTACTGATTATGTGCCAGACACTGTGCTAAGTACCCTGCATATGTGATCTTTAATACTCACAAGAACTTTACAAAGTTTGGTATAATTATCTTCATTTTACAAATGAGAATACTGAGTCCAAGACAGAATAAGAACTTAGTCCCAGCTAGTTACTAAGCAGAGCTGGAATTTGAACCAAGCTCTCTCTGTCTCCTCAGGCTATGAATTTTCCATAGACCCTGATACCTCCCTTCCTGTGTTCCACCCTTCCTACCCTAGTAAAATAATGGAAATTCTGAAGATTCTCCACCCACTCATCTTAAAACAGAACCTTTAAAATGATATTTTGGTTAGTACTTGTATGACATAAATATGTACAATATCTTGAGATGACACACCATTGAATTTCCTTTTGAAAAATGAATAACTTCATGTCAGAAAATCCATTCTTTGTTTACATTTTAAGAGAGAATTTTTCAAGTGTTTAAACCTTGTAATAGTTGTTCACACTTGTGAGTGTGATAAATTCTATAACTAAGCACTGACACCATAAGAAAATCTGATAATTCTGTCTGGGATAATTTAAGAATGTATAATATATGTTTAGTATACTTAGTGTAGCTTAGTTCCACAATGTTTGTGCTTCCTTTATAAATAATTTCATATTCTTCTTTCTGATATAATTATCCATACTTCATTAGTTCTTTACTAGCAACTAACTCATGTCTATAAAAAGTGATGCCAGATGAGGAAATTCCATTGTAAATTCTTTGTTAGTTGATCTCAGTAGTATCGATTTCTGACTTTTCAAAATCCAGCTCTGTGCCCTTATTCTCCAGATATGAAGATGTGAGTCTTTGGTTCTTTCATTTTAAACCTATGGATAAGCATAAGTGGTCTGTTAACAGGCCTTTTTTTCCTTTTCTTTTTTTTTTTAAATCTCATTGCATTTATATCATTGACCTTTGCTTCAAAAAGCATTCGGCGGTCTTTAACAGAGGGAGACCATGAAAAGTGGTGTTGTAAAGGCTTTATTCTATAAAAGAAGTCACACAGGGAAAGCTTTATATTTGCTGAGCGATTTAATTCTTATACATGCAGAAATTGGCCATGGGCCATGAGTAACATGATGGAAAAGGACTACTTACTAGTTGCAGGCTCACAACCAAACTTCCCCACTCCATTCTGTATATTTTTTTAAATAGAGAAAAAACACCTCCTTTCTTGTTGTTTTAAAATCTACCCAGGAAAAGTGATGCATGGTATCTAGACTAGTCAACCACCTCATCAAGATTCATAAAGCCACTTTTTTTTTTTTTAAATGAAGAACTAAGGAGCATATTCTCCAGGGAGAAAGATGCCTGCTTAAATCAGTCTTCTGAGTGTCTAGAGCAGAACTATGAAGAGAAAGGTCACTTACAGGAATAGCAACTACTTTGGGAACACTGGCTGTATTATGGTTATGAGATATTATTAGGTGATTAGGTATTCCAAGGTAATACCTTTTTCTTATAGATGGTGGATTGGGCAGACACTGTCATTAAAAGTAACTGTTTATTCTTTTGTATACCAAATACCTAATGTCTGTAGAGAAATGGGGAGCAAGCATATTTTGATTAACATTTTTAAAGCCTTGGAAATTGGCTAAGGCCAGTCTCCAAAAGGTACATTATATCCTTTATAATTTTCTGACAGTATAGTGAGACTTAAGTTGACTGATTCCTTCTTGTTGAGTCATAAGATAATCCTGAACTTCATATTTGACGAATACAGATTTACTTTGCTAGATCTTTAAATACCTTGGGGTATTCTGGGGTAAGACTGCGTATATGTATGCAGGTGGGCTTTTGGCGTTTTTTTTTCAGTTGTTTTCTTTTTTGCAGTTACTTGAGAGACTGGAAATGTACATTTCTGTTGCATTTTTAAAGAGAATAATCATCTTCTATAGTATGATCGATACAAGCTTTAATTAAGTTTTAACTAAACATCAAAATATCTGGGCTTGTGTCTCTGAGAACCTTGCACTTTGTTAGGCTGCAGTCTCTTCAAGCAGAAAGAACTCTCAGCTTTTGTTGAGGAAGACCTGAAACTTACTGGCAGTGAGAAAAGAGACTGGGATTTATTCTGGGCAAGGCAGAAACAGCTCACTGGGGTCAGAACCTAAATAAATGGTGAATTTTGGTGCTTGGAATCTACAGAATGAAGCTTGATACGCAAGTGGGTATCAGATTATTTGGCAGTCAGATTTTCTGTACAAATATAGAGTTAAACTGAGGAAAGGGTCGGTAGCAGAGTGGGAAAGTCTGGCTCTGTATAAATAAACCTGCCTTTACTAGGTGTGGACAGTAACTTTAACCCTCTGAATTCCCTCAGTAGTAAAATGAGGGTTATGACTGCCACCTTGTAGAGTTATTTTGAGGATTAGAGAGAATATATATTTATTGACATAGACCCTCAATAAATGATGACATTGTTCCATTTTACACTTTCTGTAAAATTATTTGTAAGTCAAGAAATTATGTAACCAAGTATATTAGGCAGCTTTAAGATAGAAATACAGAGTTTGATAGGTGACTTCTCAGGATGTAAGATATGTTAAGTATTTATTATTTACATAAGCCTGGCTTTCTTTCCTTTCTGGAATGGTTTTGAGTTATGCCTTAAAAATATACCATGTAGAACTGTTTTTCTACTCCTTTTTGGCATACCCTGGGATATTGCAAAGAACCATGGTAAGTGGCAGAGAGAAGTAAACTTCAACTCTAGCTGCTCAAAATAGTTTTTTAGGATAGAAGGCATAAGCCTCATTATTTAGCCCAGGGCATGCTGATAAACAGAGAGGCACATCTCAAATTAAAAAAAATAATTCTTAGGTTTGTATGCTACAAGTAGAAAACACACAGCTGAAAATTGCTTTACTTCCATTCTGCAAAGTTCAACCCAAAGTTCCAATAACTCAAGTTTAGAACTTCTTTTTTTTTTTTTTTTTTTTTTTTAGCGGTATGCGGGCCTCTCACTGTTGTGGCCTCTCCCGTTGGGGAGCACGGGCTCCAGACGCGCAGGCTCAGTGGCCATGGCTCACGGGCCCAGCCGTAGAACTTCTATTTTTATTACAGAAATAGGAATATGGGAAGCAGTAGGGGATTACTTTAACTGACATGTGTAAGGGCTGTGTAAGTATTAATAATTTTAGCTTAGTCTTCTGAACTAAAATGAACAACCCCATAGGGGCTCATAATTAGGAGCTCAGTCTCTAAAATAATTATATTGAAATGCAATTCTACCTTATATTGTCTCCCACCCAATATGACTGGTGCCAAAATTTTACTGAGATGAAGTCTAAAAACCTGATGTCCAGAATGAGCATATAAAGAAAGGTTGAAAAAGGGAAAGTACTTTAGCTGTTTTGAGAACTCTAGTAATTAGTATAGTCTTTCATCTTTCTTTTTCCCTTCCAGTGCTTAACTCTAAAACTCAGTTTGTGTATTGAGCATTTATTTATCAAGCATATATTAAGTGCCTGCAGCAAACCAGGAACTATACTAGAATCTGAGCATACCAAGATGGCTAAGATATGGTCCCTGAACTCAGCAAACTTACCGAGTAAGATGTATGACATGAAAATAGAGTACACTATTCCTAGGCTCGTGCTAAGTCTTGAAGATAACCTTTTAAAAAACTGCATGATATGGCCTTTGCCTCAGGTCTTTACCAATTTAACTAGAGAAACAAGAGTTACATATATGAAAGAATATAGAAAAGTCCATAATTAGGAATAAAATGTATGGTATAGAGTATGTGATGTCAGGAGGCCAAAAGATCTCTGTCGACCAGTCAGGGAAGGGTTTCATGGGAAAAGATGAGCATGAAAGCAGGAAAAATTTTGAGAAGTGAAGAAGAGGAAAGATATTCTAAGAGGGGTGACTATAGAGTAAATAACAAGAGAAAATTTGAAAGAAAATTTGACCGAAATAGGTGATATATTGGATTTGAGGGAGTGATTGGAAGAGCATGGGGTAGAGAGAGGAGAGGTGAAAATTACAACAAAGATGTAAGTTTCACTGACTAGAGAGAGATGATGTCACTGATGTAATTGACATCTAAGAAAACAGGTTAATAGGAAGAGATGGGATACTAAATAAAATATTTTTCTTACTTTAGATTTTTAGTCTTCTTTTTGGGTTGACAATCTAGAATTTTTATATGGTTTTAATTCAGAAACCAATAGAGGTCCCCATTATAGTCATATTTACTTAGTTGTGAATTCCAGTTAATTATCAGAAATATTTTAATACAGCATTGACCTAAAGTAGAAAATCATGTCGAGTTTCCAGCACATTCATTAAGGTCCTGGCCTTCATATTCTTCAGCCAAAAGCTAGATTGCATGAGGGCTGGGTGGTATTTCTTCTCCAGATTGGGCAGTGTGGATTCTGAGGGAACTGTGGAATGATTCAGGAATGAGATGTAGCAGTAGTGCCAGTTCTATGCCCCAGTGCTTTTAGTAAATAAAGATTTTGAAGGACCAGGGACTTATACTCTCCATGGTTCCTTTATCATCTATTTTAAACTACCCAAGTGCAGAGGATTAAACTGTCAAAAATGATTAGTGTTAGTACTATGTTAATTGAATATAGTCATGAAGCTGCTCAACTTCCAATTCAAAATAAAAATCACTCAGTACATCTAGTGACTAGAATCTAGTTGAAACTATTTCTACATCAAGATCATCTATGATGGGATGTTAGGCAACAAAACCTTCAAACTTATTTACTTTTGTTCATTGTCTTTGCTTTTATTTGCAGTTCTGGGAAATGTCAGTGCAAAGTGGGTGTCACCGGCTCTTCATGTGATAGATGCCAAGATGGATATTATGACTTTAATAAGAATGGCTGCTTGCCCTGCCAATGCAATAATCGGTCTGCCAGTTGTGATGCCCTCACAGGTACACACTTTCCTTACCTTTTTATATAATTAGTCCACTGTTCTTTTCACTTTGAAGTCCTTCATCTATGAGTTGATTCTCCCAAATAGTTTGTAAGGGTCTTTCTCTTCTAAGTAGTATGTAATAGGTCATAGCAAGCCAAACTCCTGCTACAACAACTTTAAAACGATATATAAATTTCAAAAATCATATTGGTTGGAGATCCATGGAAGAAAGGAAAACTATATGAACTAAAATTCCAGACAGGGTATTCCTAAGTAAGCTGATGATCAACCAGCCTTTTTCCTTTCAAGGGACATTGCTGATTCTGGGCACAGACTAAGGAGCAGGCTTGGTCCAAGTAAAAGAATTCTTCTTGAGGAAAGAGATACAATAAGAGCTTCTGGCAGTCATTTGGGGCTCGCTTGATGAATTGGAAACTAGAGGAGCCCTAAACACAAGGCCAATTTTCCCACAGGACATAAGCTGACTGTGCAGGAGATGGAAGGCTGTCCCAAAAGGTAGAAAGAAATTTCTCAGTCTTGTGGTGCTTAGGAGACAAAATCTCTTTAGAAAGAGAGGACCTGCTACAACATACAACCATCTCTCTCTCAAGACATTGCCCGATTCAGAGGTGTGTGGAGTGGGACTTAGGCTCACATTACTCAAGGGAAGTACTAATCTGTTGCAGTCTTTCAGAGCTGAGGAGACACATGCCTGCTAGGTTTTCAGTCAAAAGCCTTAGAGGGTCATGACCAAGAAGTAGTGATGAACCATAGGTGAACTGATTCATACTAATATTGCAGTCCATCCTCAACCTATCTTAATTTCTGATTGAATTGAGGTGATCCTCTCATTATATCTATCAGAGGAAAGGGGAATCATCTGTGGTTCTTTGTACATTGTGTCTGGCAATCAAAACACTAGACAATGCTCAGGTAGGAAAATGTAACAATAATAAAGAGAAAAACAATGGAAGCAGACCCACAGATGACCCAAGTGTTAGAGGTAGCATAAAATAACTAAAATTAATATTTTAAGAAAATAGAGGAAAAAACAGACAAAATAGATGAAAAGAGGCAAAATTTCAAGAGATTTGGAATCTATAAAAAATAATCAAAAGAATAATCTAGAACTGAAAAGTATGTCTGAAATTAATACCTCATTGCATGGACTTAACAGAAGTATACAGTATATACTGTGAAGACAAGGTTATATACCATTGTCTAAAGTGAAGACAAGGTTAGTAGATTTAAATACAGCTCAATTTGAAATATCCAAACTGCAGCATGGAGGAAAAAAATGCAATGGAAAGAACAGAGCAGGAAAGACATGTGGGAAATAGCCAAAAGGTCTCACATAAATGTACTTGAAGGCTCAGAATGAAAGGGGAGAGATATTGGGACAGAAGCAAATATCTAAAGAGATAATGTCCAAGAGTTTTCCAAATTAATGAAAGACCTCAACCCACAGATTCAAACAGCTCAGCAAACCGTAGGCAGTATAAAAACAAAGAAAACCACGTCTAGGCTTACTTAGTTAAACTATTTAAAACTAAAAACAATTAGCTTTTCTGCTCTTCAGTTTTCCTAAACGTAAGGATTAGAGATACTTCCTTGGAAATCTTTTTTTCCCCAGCAAAAAAAATCAGAACATACTAGTCTGACAAGTACAAGTGTTTTTATGAGACCAAGGTAGCAGAATATTTGAAAAGAAAGTACCCTGGAAAAATGTGTTGAAATCTTATTCTTCATTCTAATCCTGTCTGTGGTGAAACAAATTGATTTAGAAGAAATTGTGTGTGTTTTTTTTTTCTTTCAATTATGTGATCTGGTCCCTGCCTACTTGCCAGTTCTATTTTGTGCTATTCTTTTTCTTTACTGTTTGTGATCCAGTCATACTGGCTTCTACTCCTAAAACGTGTTATGTTCCCCTGTCCCAAGATTCTCATACATGATCTTTCCTCTGCCTAGAATGGTCTTTCTAATATACCTGTACCCCCACCCCTGGCCCCTTTGCCTTATTAAACCATATCCTTCCTTCAGGCCTTCAGTTAAAAGTGACTTCATTAGAAAGCAGTTCATGCTCCAGGCTAAATGATAATTCCCAATTATACACTCTCATATACACTTGTATTTTTTTCATAGCACATATCACAGTTTGTAATTATATATTTATTTGTGATTATGAGTCATATATGGTTTATTCACTACATTGTAAGTTTCATACCAGCTTTGTTCATCATTTTATATAATATTTAGTAAAGATATTTGCACATAGTAACTATTTGCTAAATTTTTGTTGAATAAATGAACAAATGAATGGAGAAACTTACAGAGCAAAGATGGGTTTCAATCCTGGATAACAACAGAAATGCTTCATCATGCTGAGTTGATTTAAATTGCTCCCTAGGTCATTTATGGTACCAGGAAGCAGTCTACATTGCTGCTTCTCATTTCTAATTTTCCTTGCAGCAGCGAGGTAGCTTTCTTTAGTGTCACATAAATCCCAACCTGTTTTTGCTCAGGAGATAATTTAAGGCAAAAGAAATCCTTTTCATGGTTATGATTTCTAAAGCAGCTAGTAATAAGAAATAAATGGTTTCTCTGTTTGGAAATATAATAAAAGTGGAATCTAATGTGAAAGAGTGCAAATAATATAAAACTGCCAGCTTAATATAAAATCAGTCTTTCCTTTTGTCTCAAACTTTGAAAAGATTTTTTTTCAACAGTGTTGTGATACGGTTGCCCTCTGGTGGCCACTTACTGTGTTTTTGCAGTTCTTATTTCCCCCACCCGCCTAGTCTTTATCTATACCTTGTGTTTTAGATTGAAGTAGATTTTTAAAGTAACCTTTTCATGATACAGTATATTGAGAAAAATATTTTGGAACGAAATATGTCTTAAAAATATTTCCCTGATCCAGTAATTCTGTTTCCAGGAATCAATTCTTAGGAAATAATTTGAAATTCATAAAAAGCTTTATGTTCAAAGATGCTCACCACAGTGGCAGTTATAATTCTAAAAAATAAGACAACTCTATTTCTAACAGCGGGGAATGAAGCAAATTATGTTATCTAGGCAATACATGATAAGAGCACAGAAAGTGAAATCTTGACTTACCTTGTACAAATTACTTAGCCTTGTTTTTTCACTTAGAAATTTGGGATTATAACAGTAACTGCCTAATGGGATGTTGTGAAGATTCAATGCAATATGTTTATACAGTGCCTGGCTAATTACAAGCAGTCAGTAAATGGCAACTATTGTTATGTTGCCATGAAAATGCTTTAAAGAATGAAATATAATGACATGAGAGAGTGAGAGAAGCAGGGTATACAATGACATGTGCCATATGTTTAGACTATTTAAAAAGCAAAACCCAAACTTCTCTATATAAGGAGAGATGCAAGGAAAAGTATTCAAAATCTTAATAACAGATTTCTTTGGGTGATTTTTATCTTGTTTCTATTCTCCTGTATTTTTCTAGATTTTCTTTATTGAACACATACTTCCCTTAAAATGGAAGTGGGAGGGACTGTCATTTTTAAGCTTAAAACTTTATGTTCACATAGTGTACTTCTTTTTAAGAATTTAAGGCGACTTCGTGTATTCATAGTGTCTCATGGTGAGTACCTTGACTTGTCAGTAGCTTGACTGAGTTGACCACTCCTTCATCCTTCATTCCTCAGTGACTTTCTTCACTTTAAGATATCACACACGGGACTTCCCTGGTGGCGCAGTGGTTGAGAGTCTGCCTGCCGATGCAGGGGACATGGGTTCGTGCCCCGGTCCGAGAAGATCCCACATGCCGCGGAGCAGCTGGGCCCGTGAGCCATGGCCACTGAGCCTGTGCGTCCGGAGCCTGTGCCCCGCAATGGGAGAGGCCACAACAGTGAGAGGCCCGCGTACTGCAAAAAAAAAAAAAAAAAAAGAATTAGCTTTAAGATATCCCCCTTTCCTTTTTTTTTTTTTTTTTTTTTCCTCCATCAGCTCTGCTAGATCTTCTTTTCACCTATAAGCACTGGAGTGCCTCAGAAGTTTGTTTGTCTTGACACATTTGTCTTCTGCATTTATACTCTCCCTAAATGATCTCATTCAGTCCCTTGGATTTAATTTAAATGCCTTCTACAAATGAGCTAATTACCAGATTTACATTTCTCCCTTGATCTATACACTCAAAGATCTAACAGTGCACTTGACATCTTCATTTGCTCTAAGTCAGGGATCTCCAACCCCAGGGCAGTGGACCGGTACCAGTCTGCCACCTGTTAGGAACCAGGCCTCACAGCAGGAGGTGAGCAGCAGCCCAGCAAGTGAAGCTTCGTCTGCCGCTCCCCATCGCTCACATTACCACCTGAACCATCCCCCCACCCCCCCACCCCTGTCCATGGCAAAATTGTCTTCCATGAAACCAGTCCCTGGTGCCAGAAGGTTGGGGACTGCTCCTCTAAGTGGCAAGGTAGCCTTAACACATCCAAAACAACTCTTTATTTTACTATATAAGCTAAGCCCCCTTTACTCCTAGTGTTCTTCATTTTGGTGACTGGCACCATAGGAGTCACATTTGCTTCCCTTCCTTAGTGCAGATGCAGTCCGTCAGCAAGTTCTGTCAGCCTGACCTTCAACATGACCTTCATTGCTATCATCCTTGTCTAAGCAACTGTCATCTCTCTGAATTACTTTGACACGCTCTCATCTGACCATTCTGCCTTCTCTCTTGTCCTCTCATCCTCTGAGCCCCACCCCACCACAGTCCAGTCTCACATAACAACCAGCGTGATCTTTTAAAAATGTAAAACCAGACCATGTCGTTCGCATGCTTAGACCCTCCAAAGTCTTCCTATCCCTCTTGGAATAAAATTCAAACTTCCTTCCATGACTACATTTTTTTGGCCTCTGCCTTTCTCTCTGACCTTATCTTCTGTTACCCTCTCCCTTGTTTGCTTAGGCTGGCCTTCTTTCTGTTTAACAGGTTGAAGTTTGTCTTCTGTTGCATAGAGAAGATTAAGCATTTCTTTTTATAACAAAGTACCTTGCTGCATTTCTGACAGGTTTATATGTGAACTAGAGGTAACGAAATAAATAAGGAAAAGGCTTCTTACAGGTGGCGATTTATGGTTTCAAAGCTTTGTCACCGAATTTGGTTGGAAAAGAACCCTACATTCTTTTCTTTGACCAGTTATTTTCTTGGTTACCCCCACCAGATTTTTTTGATGCTTAGCCAAGGAGCATGAGATCATCTTCAGGAAACACTTACTCTTTTTTTTGGATTAGCTCCTTTGGCCATCTTTCAGCAAAGAAAATGTGAATTTTAAGGCAGTATTGTTATATTTGGGAGGTTCCAGGCAGAGCATAATGAACAAAGTTACACTTCAGCTAATTTTTATATGTTATTTATCATAAAAGAAAGATTCTCAAATTTCAGATTTTAAAGGGAATTTAGATCTCATCTAGTTAAGCTTTCCTAGTTTGTAGAGGAGGAATTTGAAGGATTATATCCTATGGAATATTTACATACACCCTCTGAAATGTTTACATTACATTAAATCATTGGGCAAGGAATTATTATCCCATTTTACATATTAAAAAAGTGAAACTCAGAGAAGCTATTTGCTGAAGGACACATAGCTGTAAGAGGTTCAGCTGAGAATGGAACTCATATCTGACATGAAATACATATCATTTTTCTTATGTTGCCTCCCAAAGAGGAGTTGTAAGCTGTTAGAAAAGCAAATTCATATTATTCGTTCCTGCTCTATATGGACTTTAAAAATTATGATCTTTATTGTAAAAATCAATCTTCAGTTTTGTACATGAAATGTTTTAAAATTGCTTGAGCTTTTGAAATATTTTACAATATGCATTTGATACATTTTATAATGTATTAATTTTATAATCAGAAAAAAATTAAGATAGTAAAAATAAAAGTGAAGTGCATACAAAAGACAATTTAAAAATTAGAGGGGAAAAAACACTTAAAGGACTGTTGCCCCTCACAACTATTGTTAGCATTCTGGTGTATTTATGTCTTATCTGTCTTTAATTTATTAATTTTCTTTTTCTATAGCTGTGTTCCATGTGCATGCTATTTTTAAAGCAATGTAGAGTGATAAGTTTTTAAAAACTGATGAGTTTTATTATACTTGTTTCCTCCTTTACTTTTCAGATAACATATTTACCATGTAGGCTTATTTTTTCTTATTGATTTCTCATTGCGGCTTGTGACATAAAACAAACTGAATAAGAAATTCTTCTGGAAAAAATATTAAATATTCTAATATAAATGGTTTAGGAGTGTGAAGCTGTATTGTGATAAGCACAATGACAAACATTTGAAGGTCTTACCTAGAATAGTAGAAAGCCTCAAAATAATAAGCATGTAGGTCCAGTAACATTGTAGGAGCAAAGTATTAAAAGCATATATATATACTGTTTTTTAATAAGACCTTTTCTTGACACATTGCAAATGGCATGTTATTGGAATGCATCCTTATTCTGTTTCAGAACTATTAATTTTTGAGATATTTTTGTATTAAAGTTTAGGACGTTATCAGAAATTTTTCTTGAAAATTATTTCCGATGGACATTTTTAATAGGGGGAGAGCAGGTAGACAGATTTTATACATAATGCAGGTTTTGACTTTTCCAACCTGCAGAACACTTTGACATTTATTTTATTTTTAGAGCCAAAATCTACAGTTTCCTAGTATGTATTTTTCAGCTGTTTTTATTGTCACAATGATACATAGCTAAAGAGGGATCAGGATATAAGAAGATCTGTGAAGAAACCAGTACCTTAAGTGTTTATCAACGTATGAGGATATACTACTTTGTTACATATATGAAATACATCATTAACACTATCAGGCCTTAAAAAATTACATGATTAAAAGTGATATTTACATGCAAATTTGATTTAATTCAGAGTTAAGTGTTCATATAATAAACTTAAAAAAGTGTCTTTCTGAATAAGTTCATGAAGTTTCAAGGAACTTTGCTGTAATCACATAAGAATTGAGATTTGAGATGTATGTTAATAATTTTCATTCTTTTGGTTTTTCAAATCTTGTTCCAGTTGTCAGACCATTTTATTCCACAGCCTCATTCTCGCTCCTCTTTTTTGTAAATATTTCACTAGTAAGGAAAAGAAATCAAATAAAATTACTTATGATACTTTTGCACTGAACTATATTTAGCTTATCATGTAAAAATCTCATTGTCTTCCTAGATTTCGTTGTAGAGTTTACTCATTTATTTCTGTAATAGGAGTTCTGAGTGTCCCTTTGAATCTTTGTGGAATGTAAATTACACTACACATTTTTGTTTCCTGTTTGCAGATGTTATGCTGCTTCAGTACCTGTAGAATGTCCTTACTAGTAGGGAACCAAAGGAGTGTTATTAAGAAACACATAACTTTGCTTGCCTCCTTCCTTTTCATTTTCTTTATTAATTGTTTTCATTTTTATTTTGAATTTTTAAATATAAAACCATATGGAGAGGGACTTCCCTGGTGGTCCAGTGGTTAAGACTTTGCCTTCCAATGCAGGGGGTGGTGTGTGGTTTTGATCCCTGGTTGGGGAGCTAAGATCTCATATGGCTTGGGGCCAAAAAACCAAAAACATAAAAAACAGAAGCAATATTTTAACAAATTCAATAAAGACTTTAAAAATGGTCCACATCAAAAAAAAAAATCTTAAAAAAATATGGAGAATAATATAACAAAGAATTAATAAATATTAACACTTTGGTATTTTGCTTAATATTTATACATATTTGTAGTTATATATTTGAAATAGAAAATTTCAAATAGAGCTGGAATTCTTCCTCTTTGTTTTCTTCCCTGCTCTCGTTTTTCTCCCTCCCTCTACAGAGACAAACAGCATATAACTTGCCTATACCCTCTCAGTCTGGATTTAATTTTTACTGCATATGTATGTATCCATCTGCCTAGAGTATTATGTATCCATTTGCTTAGTATTGTTTACTGTGGTTTTTAAAATTTTTATTTCAATCAATCAATTTTTACAAAATAAGTAAGCACTCTCCTTTATGTATCATTCTACAATTTGCCTTTTTCAACCAACGTTGTTTTTAGGATTTACGTGTGTTCATACATATGGTGTAGTTCACTAATTTAACTACAGTATCCCAACTATTAAAATAATACAATTTATCTATTCTTCTTTTAATAGGTCTTTAGGTTGTTTTTATTTTTTCTTTGCAAATTGTTGGCCTGCTTTTGGTATGTAGTCAGTCAATCAACAAGGGTTTATTGCGACTCTAGTCATGTACCTAGCCTTTCCCTAAAGAGTTTACAATCTAGTAGGGAACACAGAACTGATATGCCTGTTTACTATAGAAATAAGATGGGGTAGAAACTGAACTCTGTGCAATCTCTTTTGGATAACTTTTTCTGGTTAACTCTTAAGGTTTTTTGGTTGCAGGTATGATTTATTTAAAGTTGCTGTGCTTTCAGAGTAAATCTTGAAATGATTTGCTTCTTTTAGGTGCTTGTTTAAATTGCCAGGATAATAGCAGAGGGGATCATTGTGAAGAATGCAAAGAAGGATTTTATCAGAGTCCTGATGCCACTAAAGAATGTCTTCGCTGCCCTTGTTCAGCAGTGACATCTACAGGCAGTTGTATCATAAGTAAGTCCTTTCTCTAAATCTTCATTTTTAGAGGAAAAATCAGTGAATCAATTATCAATAGGTAGAAAGTGTGTTGATAAAGTTCTAGATGCTGTAGTTGAAAGGGAGTTATAAAACAGTATAGGTTTTCCTTTCTAGGAATTTGCAGTCAAATCCAAATACATATGTGAAATGAGACATGAGGGAGGGATGAGGAAGTTTTTGTTAAAACTGTATTTTATTCCATCTGACATGACTAAAGAGGAAGGAATAAAAAAATTTTGAGTGCCTATCCATCTCAATTACTCAGATTCTTTATGTAAGCACACTTCTTTCCTTCTCTACCTAAATAGATTTTCTGGGTGGCCCTGTCATTCTCACAACAAACTGGACAATTAATAAATAAGGTGTAAATTATTAGTTTGAATTCCATGTGTTTCTTAAGTTTGAGAGGAGATAGTAGGCAGGGTGTGTAAACTGTTTTGGTGGGGGGACTAGTAGTAGTTTTGCATTTTCAATTGTAGCTTGAAATTTTACTAAATTATTTTGATGTTCTCTGTCAGAACTCGGTGAATTGGAACCTGAATGTGTCCGGTGTAAAGATGGTTACATGGGCCAGAACTGCAATGAATGTGACAATGGCTATTACAATTCTGACAGCATCTGTATGGAGTGCCAGTGTCATGGCCACGTGGACCCAGTTAAAACTCCAAAGATTTGTAAGCCTGAGAGTGGTGAGTGCATCAACTGCCTCCATAACACCACTGGGTTTTGGTGTGAGAACTGCCTAGAAGGTTATGTTCAAGACCTCGAGGGAAATTGCATCAAGAAAGGTAAAACTTCACCTAAGGTTGTAAATTTAATATTTAAACCTAGCAGTGAAAATTTCAGGACAGCTACTTTTAGCTTTGTAAAAGCTTCCAATCCTACCAGAGAAGTTTTCTGGAAATAGATTTTGATAGATATTTGCCTAAAGAGATTTCCTTCTATTCCTGTTGCTCTCCTGAGACTCCAGAGTCAACTCTAGAAATCTGAGGACCAAGACAAAGTCATTGCAGTGTTCTCACATTTTCTCTTCATCTGTTTTTTAAAAAATATTTTAAAAGTCCTGTCATTTCTTTTATCCTTTGCTTCCTGTATTCTCATCACTTCCAGTGATCATCAAAGGTCTTTTTAAGTAGAAACCTATATCTGGTTAGAAGTTCCAGCTGAGAAACAAGGGTTTATTCTAACTTCTGTCCTAACTTTGCGCTTAAGTTTTCCCAGGTGTGATGGAGGAAACAGTAAAAATATTCCTCAATTTTTAAAAGAAAAAGTTATTTATATGGAAAAATATTTCTTTCATGGAAGTTCAGTAAGGGTTTAGATGAAAATTAATGATTAGAAATTTAGGATGAATTAGGGATATTCAGGCTTTATTAGGTCATAGAGATTAGGCCATGCTCTTCTATAAACCATTCTTTGATATTCTGACAGATGCTGAATACTGGGCTGATAGGCAGTTGGTCTGTGGCAAGGGTTATCCTTCTGCCATATTCTTGATATCCTTATTCTGCTGTTATCAAGGCTAAAAAGCTCAGATTGAACCCTATCACTAGCCTGGAGGTCCTGTCACTCAATTCTCTTTCCCACTAGAGGCATACCTTGTCCATACTTAGCTGACAGGACTGTGATGATTTTTCTTATTAGTTATTACGAAATGTAAAACATGCCTCTTTTTAGGATAGATTGATGTGTCTGACTTTAGTGATGAATTGTAATGATAATAGTAATCATTTTGTTGAGTGCCTACTATGTGCCAAGCACTGTAAACATTAAATGTGATAATGTCATATAGTACATTATCTAATTTAATCCTTCCCAAGAACTCTGCAAAGTAGATATCATTATTCCCATTTTACTGATGAGGAACCTCAGTTTTAAAAAGATTAACTGACTTATTTATTGCCACACGGTTCTACTTGATTCCAAAGCTTTTGGTATTTCTACTGAGCTATGCTGCATTAAAAGTACAAAGTATAGTACTTTAGTTATAAAATAGCTCTAACCTACATAAAGGAAGAATCACTATGCTTGCAATGGCTGTTTTCTGTCTTGGCTGATATCAACTTTGGATATTTAAAATGTTTTTCAGAAGTCACTATAAATACAATTTTTCCTATTTTGTTTTTGCCTCCATTGAAGAGAATTTTACCTTTATGAAATGCCATCAGACATGTTGAACTTATCTTAGTTCAAATGATTATTATCTAAATCACTTTTAACCAAGTGATTTAGAAGTCTCTAGTGACATATCTACTACCTTTTTAGGAATTTGTATGAATTTATTCAAGAGTACAGAAGGTTGGAAAACTCCAACATTAGAATTTTCCCAAAGATTTTAGCATAGATATTACACATTTTGGATAACAGCCATGGATGTAATAACCTAGCTTTCTAGACCCTGATTCTTTTCATGATATTTCTTAAAAAGTTATTTTTAACTTGCATTACCTTAAAGCAGAGTATCATGTCAGCATCCCATATCAATTTCCACTCCCATGTGTATTTCTTTTATGGTTTCTTAGAAGAAGATATTTTGTCTTTTACATTTCATTCTCTGTTTTTATTTTCAGAAGTTATTGTTCCAACACCTGAAGGTTCTACCATTTTGGTTTCCAATGCCTCTTTGACCACATCAGTGCCCACCCCTGTTATAAATAGTACATTTACCCCTACAACCCTGCAGACTATCTTTTCAGTAAGCTCTGCTGAAAATAGCACGTCAGCTTTAGCTGATGTATCATGGACCCAGTTTAACATCATCATTTTGACAGTCATCATCATCGTGGTGGTGCTGCTGATGGGTTTTGTGGGGGCCGTATATATGTACCGGGAGTACCAAAACCGGAAACTAAACGCCCCCTTTTGGACCATTGAGCTGAAAGAAGACAATATCAGTTTCAGCAGCTACCATGACAGCATTCCCAATGCAGATGTGTCAGGATTGTTGGAAGATGATGGCAATGAAGTGGCTCCCAATGGGCAACTGACCCTGACGACACCAATACATAACTATAAAGCCTAAGGAGCTAGAGCTGTTCTCCTGGATTGTGAGACCACAGTGCTTACTAAAACAGCATCAGCCTCTGGGCCAAACAAAGCCTGGGTAGAGTCACTGAGATGAGAAAGCAAAGGCATATAGTGCATCTGAAATTTTCAGGTACAAATTTATAACGTACTTAGCCTATTACTCTTAGATTTCCCATGAAGATCTGAAGCAGTCACTGACAATAAGGACTTGAAGTAAAGTATATTTTTGTACCAAACCACATGGGAGTATAAAGGCGGAACCGCAGAGTGCAGCCCAAATCCACTTTGACCTCCAAATAGACTCCTGGGGAAGTGTTTATCAGACCAGCGGAAACAGGATGATGGATGTGGAGGGGGAAAGGACTGCCAGAAGACTTCATCTCCATTCCTGAAACACATTTTTTTAAAGGAGGGGTCAGGGGTGATATTCATTGAGGAAAAGCTGTATCACAAGCTGTTTGGGCTGTATCACAATAAACAACCTTGATTATTTCCAGAATAGGGGCAGAAAAGTCTCAAGAAGATCTTTAGAAGGGTTTGATTTTTCCTTCCAGAATTCTTGCTCAGTGATAAGATTAAAGCACAGGATAAGCTTCTAATGGTAGAGAGAGGGAGGCAACATCTGGGAGCAGGAAGCTGATGGTCCCTCCTTGGGGTCTCAGTGTAAATGGTAAATTTTCTAAAAATAAGGAATATTCCTGCCTCTAGAGAAATAAGGTGTATATAGTTAATGTAGAATATCTGGTCAGCATTGTATTTGTATCTATTTGTAAAAAAAATCATGTCATATTTTATCATCTAGAATTTATTTGTACAGCAGTTAATGGAGTTGTAAAAAGAAAATATGGGGTTAAAATACTGTAAAATAGATGGCAATATTGCTAGAGCTGGGACTCTGGTGAGCACCAGTCATTTTTAGTCCCTCTTTGGGCACTGTTGAAATTTATAAGAGGTTGGATGTTTCTAATTTTTCTTTCCCTTTTCAATCTAAAAGTAGAGTTCTATGGTCTTGGCTTCCTATAGATTCAAGCAGTAGATTTTGCAGTGTTTGTTAAGGTGGGACACAGGCTGCACTCTCCAAACTACTCACCTGATTAGACATTAGCCTCTATATATTTTACATAGATTAATGTAGAATATATTCTCATTAAAGAATTTTTTTAAATGTAAAACATAGTCTTCCAAAGGAATTAGAAATATTTTAGTTCCAAAAGAAAAGCCATCATTATTACTTGGGATCCCCTGTGAAATATCATGCCTGTGAAATATTTATATTCTCTCCCCACCCCAAAATACTTCCTACATTTGAACGTAGCCTGTCACTCACATGCCATGAGGTGTGTACCATCTCTCTGCAGTGCTACAGTTCTTGCATCTTCTTCTTGTCTGGTTAGAGGGTAGCTCTGTAGTTGAGTGGCTATAGTTGGTCCTTGCTTTTAGATGCAGTTTTTTCTTAGAGGCCATCTCTACCTTTGCCCTCATCTAATTGTGATATTGACAGATTGTAGATTAAGCAAGCCAGGAAAGCAGCCAGAAGTCAAATATAGATATTTATTAGGAAGGAGAGCAAACTGTTAAGTGGTTAGAAAAAAAAACAAAGATTAGACCTAGGAAATCCAAGTTGATAACTTTGCCTAACTTCCTCAGAGGAAAACCTGGAATTTGGTCATCCCTCTGTAGTTGTTCTCAGGGTTTAGAGATGATGCTCTGGAGGATGCACAGGCAGATAATCTACTTCTGTTAACCTTAGGTGCTCCGAATATTTGGCCATGGTTCGTGAAAGTAGAGATTACATTACATTAAAATTAGTTACTATTTCTATAGCCGTTTGCAGTTTGCAAAGCATCTTTCTATATGTGTCCTTTGTTCCTCACCATAGGCCCCTGAGGAATAATTGTTGTTCCCATTTTATAGGTGAGGTTAAATGTCTTGTTCAAAGCTATATAATATGTCATTATTAGGCTTGGAATCAGGACTCCTAACTCTGAAGCACATGTTCTTTCAACCATATGCTTGTGCAGAAATTGCCCAGCCATGAACACAAGAAGGCTGGGAGGAAGAGCCCATCTGTGAATGTTTCTAAGTTTTCTAAGTATGAGGTACAATCCAGGGCCATACAGCCATGAAGGACTTTGTGGAAAGAACACAGGAGGATTACTCTCTGAAGCCAGTCTTGGTGATAAGAAAATTAAAATACCAGTTTGTGCTTCATTAAAATGAACTAATCCTTCCAAGCAGGGAAAGGAAATCTGATTTCTCCAGCAGCTGCCACATATGCGTGTATAGACTGTGCAGTGCATAGTTCCAAGGAATTGTGTAAAGTGACATACCTGCCTTTCCGCCAGATTACTACCTCCTCAAGCCAGGGATTGAGGATGGTTGAGAAATAAGCGTTTGTTAAACAGAAGTAAACCGAATAGAGAAAGAAAGAGTTTGTTGGGGTCTAAGAGCCAAAGCCAAAATAGTCTGGATTCTGGCCATGTAGAGATTCCATGAAACACACTTTAAAAGATATTGCAAAAACTGAAATCACAAAGAACGTTTACCTTTAAATATTTATGAACAGTTCCTAGGTCATGTTCTCAATTTGTCCTGATGGAAAAAATTAAGGTCTTAAAATCTGTTTTAAATAATATTCTTTAGTGTCCCATGCTTCTGCTGGTGGAAATAATTTTGCTCTAAAATGAAATCAATCATGAAGTGATCTACCACCAAAATCAGACTAGGAAACCAGTATGGAATGCATTGCACAATAGTCATTTCTCTAAAGGCATGATCCCCATGAACTATGGCATTTAGCACCAGGATCCCATACGTCCTTTAGAAAGACTAATATTGGAAGAATTTTTGTCTAAGGATTAGGAATGTGTTTATTTTAAAATGAGGTAAGACTAGTATGAATCTTACTGGTGAATGACAGATACTGCTATTAAGTGATACTTTTATCTTCATTAATTTGTTTTTGTAAGGCCTTCCGCATTTCTGACAGATGCCCTCGGTAGTGTTGCTAAGTATGTCTGTCCTCCCTTACTTTCCCCTCCCTCCCTCCCTCCCTCCATCCTCTACCTCCCAGAGGTCTCTTCTAATGGAATTTCTCCAGTTATAGAGAAAAATGATAATAAAAACTAAACCTCATTTATACTAAGGTCCGATGGATCTAGTGTGTTACTCTTAGGGATACCTGAATTTTAAGAGAGGAGAACAGAGCGGACGTGGAACGGGAGGAGAGAGACGTGGGGCAGAGGATTTGTGGAAGCATCAAATTATATGTCTACCCTCTAGCCCCAATACTCCCAGAAAATTGACCATTAAAGCAATACTCACTGACCCACTAGTTCATTTTGGTCAGCTGAGTGCCTTGAGGACACTTAGTCCTTCTTGTGCTGTTTTGGAGCCAGAGAGCTGAAGCAACAGTACTGCTTCCTGACAGCCTCAGTTTGGGCTGGGTTATTAAATCATTCACGTTGGTCCTGTATTTTCTGTAGCGCATATGGTGAACATAGCACCACTTATAATGAACATTCCCAGGTTCTCATATTTTGAGGTATGTGGGAAGGAGTTGAATTTATATATCTCAAGGAGAGCTCTCTGACAGAAATGTCAGAGAAGTAAAAAGCAACCCAATGTAATCTGTTAGAGCAAAGAAAGCATTTCTGGCCTCATCCACGAAGAACCTTTGGTCTATTATGATCATCTTGATAGGAATTTGGAAGCTAAAATGAGTTTGGTGTGTGCAGGGGAGTAACGGAAGGTTAATGCAAGTTTTCCCTTCAGCCCCGAGCCAGTGATTATGCCAAGGGGAGAAGCAGGAAGAACACACTGATTCAGCGGAAGAAGTCAAATGACATCACTCGGACTAGAACAGTTCTGGATCATCACAATGTCAGTGGTTGAATGATGCTTTTTCCAAGGCCATTGGGAACCTTTCTTACTTATCATGCATACGCAGTAACTGAACCAGCAGCCCTAGAACGTGAGCCCAGGCTTTAGGTCTGCACTAGTCCAAGAGCTAACTGATTTACAGTGACGTTTTCATGTGAGGCACAAGCACTCTGTACTACGTTAAATTTCAGCCCAAGCAATTGGGGAGTGTTTCTGAAACATTAAACTTGTATTTATGTCGCTAAAATTCTAACACAAATTTTAAAAACATGTCTCATGCATATGCTGTACTAGGCTTCATGATGCATTTCTAAATTTGTGTATGATTTGAATATATGAAAGAATTTATACAAGAGTATTATTTAAAATTATTAAAAAATAAATGTATATAATTTGTACCTATTGTAGATTTGTTGTTTTACTTTTTTATGTGGTCAGAGTTTTTGGAAGTCTTTTAATATATGTCACAGATCACTCATTTTCAAACCACTTCATGAAAGTCTTTGAACCCTTCATTTACCGACCATGCTTTCTGTTTTAGGAAGTTCCTCTAAAGAATGTTTTCCACTTAGGAAAAGAAATGCTACACGAAGAAGATTCCCCCCTCTCAGAACAAAACAAAACACCCTGAGAAAAAAGCATATATTAACATATGTTCTTGTTTGTGCTTTTACTTGTCTGCAATGAGATCCATTGGGTTTTCCATGAAAATATTACAGAAAAAACTTGCTCCTTTTGGATTTCTTTTTCATGCATGTAAAAAATGTCCTTTCTTTAGAATATGAAGGGAACCATGTTCTATGTGTTTGTTAGATAACCTGTAAAGAGAGTGCTTTTTTTTACTCTTTTGAGGTACCCTTGGAGATCCTCTATTTTGACAAAGCTCAAAGGATGCCATCTAGAGATCCAAGGGGTACCCTGAAAAAGAAGAAAAAATAAGTCCGGCCTTTGTTTGTCCTGACAGCTTTATAAACTTCATTTGGTTTATTCAGCTTCAGCTGGTTGATATTTGAACTTTAAAATCCTGTTTTGGGGGCTTCCTTGGTGGCGCAGTGGTTGAGAGTCCGCCTGCTGATGCAGGGGACACGGGTTCGAACCCTGGCCCGGGAGGATCCAGCATGCCGCAGAGCAACTAAGCCCGCAACTAAGCCCGCGAGCCACAACTACTGAGCCCGTGTGCTACAACTAACTGAGCCTGTGCTCTAGAGTCTGTGCTCCACAACAAGAGAAGCCACCTCAGGGAGAAGCCCGTGCACCGCAAGAGTAGCCCCGCTCTCCGCAGCTAGAGAAAGCCTGCGCACAGCAATGAAGACCCAATGCAGGCAA